CACTGGTGGTGGTGGAGGGGAATTCATTGGTGGAGTAAATATTGGTGGTGGTGAAGGTCAACTCCGTGGTGGATTAGATACTAGCAGTGTAGGGGTGATGAACTCGTTGGTGGATTGGATGCTATTAGTGGTGGTGATGGTGGTCGAGATGAACTGGTTGGTGGATTAGACATAGGTGGAGATGGTGGTGGTGATGTAGGTGAAATGGATTGCTAAGGAGGAGGGGAAGAAGGTGTAGATGTCAATGGGGGTGGAGATGTATTTTGAGGAGGTGATGGTAAGACAGGTGGTTATGCAGGAGGTGATGGAGTACAAGGTGTGGAGAGGTCACATTGATTTGCATTGAGCTCAGAAGGTGAGGAGGTTATAGGAGGTAGAGAAGATGGTTGTGATGATGGTGGTGGACTAGTGGTGGCAGGTGGTGAAGTTGGCACAGTAGTGGGAGATGAATTTGGAGGTGCACAGCAGTAAAGAAAAATTTGAAGAAAAAAGGGGAAAGTGGCCTTCTTTTTTGGCTGAATGCAAAATTACCACACTGTCCTTCTTCAAACGGAATTCACTAACAGACGTTGACGGGAAGTAGTTATTTGTCATTTGTAACCTTTTGGGTACCAACGCTAATGGCAAACTATAGGCGGGTGCATGTCGTTCGGCCTAACTTATAAAACAAAATAAAGTACATCCCATCCAACAGCCTCTTATAAAGTAAATTACTAAAAACCCTTTAGAAAATTACCCGATCCCTCATACATCTAGTAAAATTTGAAAAATATCTCTTAACATTTTAACTAGGCCTTGCATTCTTAAAATTGACCCAGGCAAGCCCGACCTGGGTAGAGCTAGTAAAGGACCGATCCCAAGCGGGTTTAGTCCTGGGCCCGTTTGGGACTAGTCACTCATGGGCCTAGGATTGATCCCAAGCCCATGAGCAATTTTAGAACCCAAACTAGTCCCTAAGGCCAGTCCTATGGGCCAACAAAATTTCAGTTTTTGCCTTGTCTTTTTTTTTATTTTTTTATTTTAGGGGCGAAATAAAATTCTGTAGGGGGTTTATGTAATTTTTAAGGGTAGATTAGTAAGTTTTTAAAGTTTAATTAATTTTAAAAAATAATAAATTAATGGTTAATTTTAACATAAATGTAATATTCACACAATCACACATTCACGCTTCACAAATAAACAATTAAATAATTAAATAATTTTTTATTAAATTATTCATCTTCATTGTCAACAATATTTAAATCATTAAAATCTTTGTTCCTTATAAAGAGTTTAGAGATGGCAATGGGCCCGATATTTTTCGGGCACCAGACCCGGCCCGGCCCAAAAAGGTTGGGTTTTACCCGATGTTCGCAGGTTTGGGCTTGGGCCTGATTTTAAGGCCCGACCTCAGGTACGGTTTGGGCTTGGGTATGTCTTCAGGCCCGGCTCGGCCCGACAATTTTAGTATTAATTATACTAAATTACCCTAAGAGTATATATTTAATTACAAGATTATCCTACATATATATACTCATTTTTCCAAAACCCATCATGGATGGATGGATGCGCTCTGTAGAAAGTTATTTATATATTTGGTGAGTATTTAAAAATAAATTAATATTTAAAAATTGTTTCTAGAATTAAAAATATAAAAAAAATTGAAATTTATTAATATTTAAAAAGTCACATTATAAAAATGGACGAGCTTGGGCCAGGCTTGAGGTTACAAAAAGCCCATTAGGCCAAGATTGGGTTTTACTTGTCATACCAGTGATGGGCCCGGGCTAGGCTTGGGCCTTTGTTATGAGGTCGGGCTTGGGCCTGGGCCAAGGGGTACCCGGTCCCGACCCGACCCATCCCATTGCCATCACTAAAAGAGTTCGAGTAGTTCGAGATTTCAGGGTGCTACTGTAGTCTTCTCTCAGCATGAGTCCAATCCCATAAACAAGTTATCACTTCAATCATCTCTTCGGTTAAAGAGCATCTTCTATCTTCAACAATCCGGCCACTCGTTGAAAATGTTGACTTAGATGCAATTGTAGAAACCGACATAGATAAAATGTCACGTGCCATTTGGGCTACAATGGGGAATCAACTTTGATGTTGGTTCCACCATTGAAGTACATCCATCTCACGTTTCTCCTTCTTCGTCATGTAGGACATGTCCATTTGTAGGTAGTGATTCAGCTCATTTGGTCCATGTATGTACGAGCTAGAGCTGCTACTTTTGCCATGTTCTATACACGTCCACATGCTCGATCCTTGATGGAGGTCTTCATCAGGGTTTTAATCGTCTCTCCTAGATGTTCCACTTCCACTTCCATTGTACCTGTTCTGATATAAAGAAAAAAAGTTTTCCAAATTTTGCTTAAAGTAAGTCAAATAAGACGTATAATCATTTCCTAAATGCTGGCCTATTTCAGTAATTATACATTTAACTACGTGTAATTTAAACCTAGGATCTACAACAAGACCTAATCCATATAAAAAAGGAATATCTAACAAATATTTCCCGTATTTTTCTTCCATCTTTAAAACAATTTCCGTTAGAATGTCATTATATCTATATTTAGCAAAAGTTTTAGAAATTTGAAGTAAAATAGCTAACGCTAAATTAGTAGTCGGATAATAAATATCACTTAATGTATTAGTGGAATCATAAAAAAATTTAAGAAATGAATAAAAAAGTTCACAAACCGTCTAATCATCATAGCTGACAACTTCCTCTAGACGGTTCTTCCAGTTGACTAAATCTGTAATTTGTATTGCGGTTGGCAAAGGTTTTTCCTATTAAATAGTGGAGTTCCAATAGATAGACATGTCCGTACATAACTTCAAAGGTCGAGCCAATGGCAATGGGTCCTCTTGCCTACAATATTTGAAGTACTCATGCCATCTTTTGTTGCTACCGTCGATGATAAATCTGATAGCCACATGCACCCTTTCCATTTTCGAATGTATAGCATCTAAACCTGCTTTAACAATCAAATTAATGATGTGGTAAGCACATCTCTGGTGAAAAAAATTACCTTCACCACGCGAATCCAATCTCTTTTCAAATAAAGAGATTGTCGCGGTGTTAGCAACTGCATTATCAAGCGTTAGTGCTACAACTCTATCAGTTAATATATATTCTTGCAAAACTTCAAGAATTGTAAAATAAATAGTGTCAACACTATGTTTTTCATATAATGGTTTAAAACCTATCAATTTTTGTTGTAAACTCCAACTATGATTTGAGAAATGTATCGTGACAGTTAGAAAATCTGTTTTTAATCTACAGACTCATATGTCTGATGTAAATGCAATAGATATATTCCTAAAATTTTGAAATTCATTTTTAAGTTTATTTTTTTTTTTAATAAAGTTTTAAGATATCTCTTCTACTTGTACTTCTACTAACAAGGATATATGTAGAACAAAATGCAGTTTTAATCATGTTTCTGTTTTAAAATGTAAATTTCCGTAAAATTTTAAATGCAAATTTTTTTTTAATTTTGTAAAATTTTATTTTAACTCCTACAATTTTTGTCTATTTTAAAATTTATAGGAAGTTTTATATAATTGTTTAAAGGCTTAAAAAATAAACCAAAAAGGTTTGGGCCCGAGCCTTGGAGGAGGGCCCAATAGAGGTACTAAGCCCTCTTCCTTAAGCTTGGTCCAGTTTTGGGATTAGGCCTGTAAAAACTGATCCTTCACCAGCTTTTTAGATCCAATCCCAAATACCCAACTCTAGGTCTAGGCCTAGGTCTAGAGGGTATTTACACCCATATACCGTAAAATCCAACAATTGACACGTTTCAACATTTTTGTACTCTGCTTTTATACATGAGGTCCCAAAGGTGCAAGCTACAATAACCATTACACGTATAAGAATCCAAAATAGGGAGTGAATATGCACAATAGAAAGCGATGGTGTGGGCCTTATTAAAATGTTTTGGGGACAAGTGTAATTAAGATAAAACATGATTTGATATAATATAGTTGGATGTCACATACGTAGCATCAAGGCCTTCTTAAGGCGGGTAAACGGCTTTTTCCTACCCAAGGCTCGCCTAAATGAACTTTTTCACTCAAAAAATTTCAAAATTCGATTTTTATATTCAAAGTTAATATTTTATTACTATTTAAAACCGATTTTAATAGCAAATTTTTTTTCCATCATCATCATTTGAACCTCTAATCTCTTCTCTATAAAACTCTTCTCATTGCAACACATAATTTCTCGTTGATTGTCAGTCATCACAAAACTAGAATTTTATGTTCTTAGTTAATTTCGGGGGCGAATATTTAATTAATCACCACCATTCGATCTACTAACTTCTACTCTACAAAACCCCTCTTACCCTGACTCTTAGTAATTCATCGAATGTTAGTTAAGAAAATGAAGTGTATTTTAGATTAACAAAATATAAATTTTACATAAGAAAGTGGTATTTTAAAATTTTTTGGGTGAGAAATGACCATTAAGGCAAACCTTGGGTGGGAAAAAGTCACAAACCAAGAGAGAGACGTCTCACTTCTATGTCATCTTACATCTTTTGATATTAATAGGTATAAGATAAAACTTTATTTGACACAAAAATTATTGCACAATACTACACTTACAATTCAATAACATAAACTTTTTCTCGTAACGTCGACGTGATAACTCACAATAGGTTTCGCTTGCCCAATAATAGGTCTCACATGCGTAATGGTAAACTGATTAATTATAAATTGTCACGTTAAAGTTGTGAGAAAAAGTTTAAAAAATTGGATTGTGAGTCATTCTTTACTGAAAATTATTTTGGTATATCATTTAAAATTGTTTATCACTACTCTTATATAATTCAATGTATAAACCGATAAAATGTGAACTGATATGGCGTAAAAGATAGACATTAACAAAGTTTAGAAATTCTAATTATGTCAACATTTTTGTTTTATATATAAATTTTGTATTACTACTTTCTATATACAATGAAAAGCACATTTCAATTAAATACTAAAAAAAGATCCTTACTACTTTCTCTCTCTTGACCATTGCGTGGTTTTCTTCAGCCGTTTATATTCCATTCATTCATATTCTCTCTTTCACTTGTCCTTCTCCTCAAGCCCACCACTCTTTTCTCTCCTAACCTAACTCTTCTCTCCTTCTCTTATAAACTCTCCATAGCCCTATACCCCCATTTCTGCAACTCTCAAACTTCCTTCAGGTTAATACTACTACACTTGCTTTTGCTTTCATTTTTTCATTCTTTTGGTTTTAAGAAAAGTTTTGCTAATCTTTAGTTAGTTGTTTGACAGGTTTAGTTAGCTATGGTGATGATGGGTTTAGAGAGGTTGATGGGGAGCTTGAAGTCTAAAATAAGGTCTTTGAAGATGAAGAAACCTTACGACAAGATTGAGAAGAGTGACAGCATGAGAGTTGAAATAAGGAGCAGGAAGGCAAGAAAGCTTATAGAAAACACCCTCAAAATTGCCGATTCTCCCAAGAACAAGACTTATGCTTTCTGACTCAGTGATCATTCTAAGAACTTTTCTTATTGTATTTTATGTTTAATTAATTTACCCAACACGGTTTATACAAGGGGATATTTTCAAATTAACTAGTGTCTTTAACCTGTCTCTCTGTTCTCTCAATTGTCCATGTCCAGAATTGCCATATCACTAACCTATGGTCTCTATCCTTCAAGAATTTATTGGCAGTCGTGAAATATTTTAGCAGTCTAGTCTAGGTGTTTTCTTTTATCTTGTTTTATGTGAAGACTCTGTGAATTCTTGTTTCTAAACTAATCCATACTGGATTCATATCATATCATGGTAGGTAGGTAAGACTATGGTAGTGATTAGTAATATTGCCTAATTCAAACCCTCATAAGTCATAAATGATAATAAAATTAATATTTATGATAACCACTGCCACACATGAAATTTCGTGTTGTGAGTTAAAAAGACCATTTATTATTATTATTATTTATTATTTTTTTTTTATGACTAAAGGTATGTGAACTAGATTACGTACACTTTAAATAATTATTCAAACCCTGAAATTACTGGTCGAGTAAGAACTCTAGTAATTATCCCTATTAACAACCATGGAAGAACTAAACTCATGATTTTTTGAATAATATATTCAAAAGTCTCTATTGAACCACTTGACTACCAAAAGGTAGTTGAGTTAAAAAAGACATTAACCCTAAAATTTAATAGAATAATAAAAATCTCTTAAGTTTTTGAAATAATGATCTTTTATCCTTAATAAACCATTAATAAATCATTAGAATTTACAATATTATAAGTAAATGTTTACAAAATTGTCCTTCTATTATTTATTTTAACACTTACGAATTAGCGACTAAAAGACTTCTGTTATTTCAAGTATTTAATTAAATCTTAGGAGATTAATGTTATTATCTCTAATTATAAAATTATTTGACTGGAAGATACTAGTTCTGGTATCACAGTCCGGTATGAAAATGAAAGTGGTAGCTAGAATTTTAAATGCTTCCAAAAGGACCAAAATTGACTTGCCTCCTCCAATTTAATAAGTCAATTCTTATTATAAAATAAAAAAAAAAAAAAAAAAAAAAGAGCCTAATTCAAAGATAAGGCTCAATAAAGCACCTTACATTATTCCTCAACCTTAAATCTAGTATCAACTTAATCTATCTATCCACCCACCATATATAATGAAGTCAAAACCCAAAATTTCCTTACGTAATAAAGGAAATAAGTGATTCATTTGCATATGAACTTTCATGTCAGAAGTCAATTTAAAGGTAGGCTAGGATTGATGAATGGTAAAATACAAACGAGAAACTAGCAAAAAAGGAAACCGGCCAGCTGACTTACGTAGTCCTTCAGCTAAAACTTAAACATCATGGAAGAACAAATAAACAATATGGGGCTGAAAATTGAAGACAAACAAAAGAAGAAAAGCAAGTCCACTATATGTTTTGTGGCAAAGAATATCCACCAAAAAGTTCAAATGCGACAAACATGCTTTAAGAAAATCTAGGTAATCATCTAAACAAAAGGTGTGAATAGGCATCAGAAATCTATAAATAATTGGTGTCTTTAATGGTTTTATCCAAATAGACGTCAGAATTAAATAAGAAAAAGGAGAGGAAACACATCATGCAGAATGATTGTTTAGATTTGGATTAATGGTTTAACAGTCAGCAGAAGCTGTACATTATATGGGTTTTACACATTAGGTTTGATGACGATAACCAAAGAGTTTCTGGTTTTGGTTTTAGTGATAGTTGTTTTAAATATTATGTTGAATATTTGATGGGGGTAGCCTAGATTTGCTTTATCTCGGTTTCAATTTTCAAATACTATATCAGAACATATAAATATGAACTAATAATATATTAAACTGATTCTACTATATTAATTGATGGGACCCAATTTGAAAATGTATGACCCAATATAAACAATGATTGGACTGTTTTACTATTTGAGGCCCAAAAGACTGGTTTACCATATGGGCCGTCTAGGTCCTTAAGGAGAGACGCCCCCAACTTTCATTGTCTTCAATAAATGAATAAATGGAATACTTCAGCAAGCCTACAAAGATTTGAAACAAAAAATGTGTAAGACTTTTTCGAAACAGAAAAATTGAACTTCTTTGTTTTCACAATTCAACATAGCTAATTAAACTATTAAAGGGAATAGTAAAACCCATGTCTTTGGTCTTTTTATAATGAGCATTCCATAGTTTCAAAAAATCTGAGTCTAACCCTCGAACATTAGACTTTTTTTTTTTTTTTTTTTTTTTTTTTTTTTTTTTACATGAACACCCACTAGTATCAAAAATACAACCCTAACTCTTATTTGATTTTATGTGATTCTATTAAGTTTAAAGAAATGACGTTTTTACTATTACCTAAATTCAATCAATGTAACATTCAAAATATGTCAACAGTATTGAAAGATTAATTTTTTTTGAAAATATAATTGATGAATTGTTAATAAATTAAAAGTTAAATTGATGATATTTTTAAATCAACAAGTAATCACAAAAAAAAAAAAAAAAAAAAAGAGATCAAACACACGAGGGTTACAATCGCATTCCTGAAAATTAATAGATGCTCATTATACAAAATGTCAAACACACGAAGATTAAGGTAGCATTTCCTAAACTAGCAAGTGCTTACTACAAAAAAAAAGTCAAAGACGCAGGTTTTACTATAAATACCCTGCTAATTAAATTGAACAATATTAAAAAGATGCATACAACTCAAAATTCGCACAATTTCTTGTAATTAAAAGACGTAAGTTCAGCCTCGAGTGAAACAAATGTTTGCAGTGCCAAGAACTGTTGAGTGAAATCGTTTATAAAGCTAGAATATATGTGCATTGTAAGAAATTCTTACACATTGTGGATGAGATATGGATACAGAAGTAGGCACTAGTAGCTGTGATGGTAAAGCATCTGGAGATCCTTGCAATAAATGCATGTCCATGGAAGCAAAGGGGGGTCCAGACAGTAGGAATGAATGCAACGAATTTGGCATAGATGGCATCTGACGAGAAGCTCCTCTGGTTCCCGGGAACGGCATTCACTACATGATGGAAGTAAAGAGGGCTGCTAGACACATAAAACAAAGAGAAGGATTAGCACAAGCATGAATTTTACATTGAAATCTATTCACGTAAGGGCAACATTGTGTGCTTTAAAGACTGACTAAATGGCTAATAAGAGAAACTTGAGCAGTAAGCGTTAGAGTCTTCTGCAAGAGAAGCCATGCTATAGTTGCACAGCAGAACTTGTTGAACACAAATATTTCATGAGGCCATTTCAACATGTTTTCGGCAGCAACCAAGGAGAAAAAGCTATGCTTTTCTTCTATTTTCAGTTGTGATAGCAGTCCAAGAAACATTTGGGGGGATTATTTAATTTTTTTTTTTTTTAAAAAAGGCTATGTGTGAGTAAGAAAAAAAAGAGGTTTTACTTATGATATTTAGCTTGAATTGTGACGAAGAAAAAAATCCATTTATGATATTACACTCATGTTTACCATTTTACCTGAGTGGAAATGACAAAAAATCACAACTTCTATTAAACGCATGCAATCAGACAGTAAGAAACTAAGAATGTATTTTAACTAAGAATGTATTTTAAGTTTTCCCTTCACCAGAGATAATCAGAATCAATAAAGAGATTTAATGGAGGGGAAGAGGTTTACTAGTATGTCTGTATGTGTATAAATATTACCTGAGCACCAATACCAGGTCTAGCTCGATCAGTGACAAAGAAGATATCTGTTGTTGGCAAGGCACATGGAATTGTTTGGGAATAAATTTTCTGATCACAAGTGGCTGCATCCTCCACCTTTGTGATGCTCACAAAACTGGCCTTGCACAATGGACAAGTTGAAAATTTTCTCATTGAAGCCTACATACATTCATCACCAGCATAAGAATCTCAAACAAGAATCATTTCATACGCAGAAAATTGTACAAAGAAAAGAAAGAATCTTAAAATGTGCCATTTAAATGCCCCTAATCAGAAAATCTCATAAATTATGATGTCAAAAAAAATATTGACAAATTCATATGTCAAATTTCAAGGACAATCTTTAAAATCAGGGGAAAGGAATATGGATTGCAGTTGGAGGCAAGTACACAATATAGAATATTTGAAATTTTCATCCTCAGTAGGTAATAAGTATATGCAAAGAATGGGATATTAAATTAATAATGCCAAATAAAGAGCATATCTTGCATTCAAGAAAATCCTTGCCAAAACTCAAACTAAGGGATTAAAAAAATGGTTCATATGAAGTTCAAAATGAGCATATCATTTTAGATTGTTTAACCACACAATGAATGCATTTTACAATAAGCAATAAGAAGGATATAATTTATAAGTACAGAATGAAATTCAAATAACCCAGTGAAAGAATGCATACCATATGATCGGCCCAGTTTTGGATGCATGAATAACAAAATCGATGTCCACAAGGTAGAATTCCTCTGGTTGAACTAAATTCTGTCCAACATATAACACAAGATAATTCCATTGAAGTAGGTAATCTATTAATGTGTTCAGTCTGATCGGTTTCTTTGACCTCCCCATTTAAGTTATCAAAATCAGTGCACCCATCCCGTGAAACTCTTTCCAGAGCACGTTGATGATTTCTGTCTTCTATGTCTTCAGTTTCTTCAAAACCTTCATCTATTTCCCCAAGCTGATGGAACCTATCATTAGATGTTCCTCTAGTTCTGAATATTTGATTCTCTTCTAGATCAGAATCTGAAAGTACAGACTCTAAAACATCTCTGCCAATATTCTTTTTCAGAAGCCTCCGACCTTTACCAGGAGGTTTAACCAAAGTGGTGTTGATGACCTTGGATATCTGCCTTTTCTCTCTTTCTGACTGCAAGAAGGAAGTACTTGACTCCTGTTGCTTTGAAATCTTCCTTTTCCCGCTCGTAGAATGGATTGAAGAATCAGAACTTGACTCTTCATTCTTTTCAAAATTTTAAAAAGAAAATGCCAAAAAGAATACAGATGATGAGCAAAGAAATTATACATGTGAATTGAAAGAAATAACAGTACATATTGTTGGTAAACAAACTAATATTTCAGAGGATTGAGCAAATGGAAACATTAACAATCCAAAATTTGGTTCATAAGTGAGAAACTAGAGTATGATCTAGAATACCATATTTAGTGGAGCAGTTTTAGGATCAGGAGGCTTCTAAAGTTTCCTAAATTATCAGATGCTCTGATAGATATCCTATAAGTAGCAAGATATGCAAAGTTTTAAACGTTTTCATCTGATCTTCAAATTCACTTGCAGTACAACAAGGTTGTAAAAAGCACATATTATCATAAATCTGGGTTATAAGTTAATAAAGAATCTAGTTCATATGCCTTTGACCAAGAATGGACCAATGTACATCATGCTTAGCCAATCAATGAGGAACTGAGTTTGCTTAGAAGTATAGCTATCCCAACTATTCAATCACTTCAACGATTTTTTGAATTTTTTCCAAAGAATGTCAATGGATACTTCCAACGTTGACTCCACAATTAGAAAATTTTAATGGATTACACACCAAAAAAAAAAAATAGAAAAAAAAAAAAAAACAACTTTATCTGCAAGTTGCCTGAGAAAATCAAATCTTCAAAGCAGTGATTGACCCACGTACAGTAAGCTTGAATTTGAGAATCCATATGGGAAGCAGAAAAAAAAGAATAGCACAACATATTTTATTAGTTACAATATCATAATTATAAAGATCATCAGGCAAAGTCCGTAGAAAGTTGAAAATAACTAATATGCTATAACTGTGAAGAGAAATAGGAGCTATTTGACTAAAGGTTTCAAATATACAAAGCAAATAAGGGTGAAACGTACCTCCATACTGACTAATCCAGATAAAGGAGGCTCTTGAAAACAGTATCTGGCACTAGACCGCTGCTCCTTCTTTGAAGTTCTTTTTAATGTCTTTGCCTTTGATGTATGAGATGTACTATTGCTATTTTCAAACTTCAGTAAGAAGTTCTGCAATAAAAATAATAGAAAAGAAAAAGGATAAATAATATTTGTCATACCATCCAATGCTGAACAGCAACTATGAAACTAGTGAAGCTGCCAACAAACTGGAGCTTCAAAATCTGAGTTATTCAATAAATAAAGAATGAAACTGCACTTATGTAGTGCCACAACCTAAACTGATCAAGAATGTGTTCCACAACTCATCAGATTACATCATTTGCATTCTGAATTATCCATTTTACTCTTTTATACACACAAGAGACACATTAATCGATTTATTAATTACTGAATGACATTAGCATCAACTGATTCCCAGCATATTACCACATCAACACTTGAAGTTCTTGTAGATAACCAAACAAAGCATCAGTTCAGTGTGTGGGTGAAACATAGAGATAGAACACACAAAGAGAGCATCTGCAGACATAGTCACCTCATTCAACAGAAAAGAATCAGTCCAAGCAGCAAGGTCAGAACCATTGGAATCCATATCATCTTCTGTTTCAGAGTCACCTCCAAGTCTATGGTAGGATTGGTCAGAAAACATTGAATGCTTCTTAGTTACAATGGGTATTTCCAACGACAAAGGCCCTATCTCCTGTCCACTGCAAAGATTTAATACCACAACTCTCAAATCATGATTCATAGGTAGTTGAATTATAAGCACCATATTATAAGTTAACCCGCTGTACCAAACAATCAGTATCACATAATACTCCAAATACAGACTACGATAATTTTATATACCAGCCTAAAATCGCATTGCCAAGAAAATAAACAAATAAGTTAAAATACAATGCAAAATTCTGATATATATCACAATAATTTAAAATAACTAAAAATGTGTTTGATACAGTAGTAACAGTACCCTCAGAATATTGGCCTAGCATATTTCATGAATTTCTCGTCTCCGTTGTTTTCAGAGAAGAAAAAATTGTATTTGAATTCTAGACAGAAACTTCAAATTTCTCAATTCAGTTAAATTAAACCAATATCTTACCATTGCAACATATAAGGAGCTTCAGGGACACGAGTTCTTTGCTTTATACAATCTTCAACCCACCGATGATTAACTACTATTGTTTTAAACTTCTTCGCAAGATCATATTTCTTTCCCTCAAATTTCCAACACACCTAATCACCAAACCGTAATCATAGTCAAAACCTTAACACTAAACTCAAACACATACACACAGTTACTCACTCGGAATCAAATCTTACCAAATGCGTAGTTGATCTCGACATCGCGCCAACGTAACTAGCACCAGCTTCGGAGATCAGCTTGATGAGTTTGAACCGCTCCGAGCCGTGGTAGCCGCTGACCGTTGCTACCACGGAGTCCATGCCTCGGATGGACCGAACTGTACTTGAATCCAATTGAAAATCAAAATTGAACCGATTGTTAGCCTGCGTGAAAGGTATCATAAGTGTATAAAAGAGCTTCGGATTGGTTGAGGGGAGAGGACACAGAATCGGAATCGAGTTCGATTAGAGAACAAAATGCCGGGAATTTGAAAATTTTGAATTCGTTTTGGGCGGACAATTAGGGCCACAGTTTATATACGATGCTTCCAAACTCGGACCGGAGAGGGTACCGGTTTATCGGTTTTTCCTTTTTCTAGTGGCGCGGTTTAACATTTTTTAAATTCTATATTTATTACTCATGAAATCTAGGGTTATTTTGATTAATGATTCGAAATTAATTTTATAAAATTAACACAGTTTACTTCATTTATATTTTTATAATATAGGTAAATATTAATTACATAAACCCTCCTTTGCTCTTTTTTTTTTTTTTCTTCTTTCAATTAGTAAAATCAAATTATTAAACACCCTGAATAATAAATTTATACCAAGTAGCTATCAATATGTAGAGTAAACGACATGTTTCTACCCACGGTTTGGTGAATCTATAAGTTTTCACCCCTGATTTCATATATTCCAGATTTTCACCCTTAAATTAACACCGTTAGAAATTTTTAGTTTTAACACAATATAAAATGTATTATTACCAAACTACCCTTTAACTTTTATACTTTTGATTGTGGCGACTAATTATCAATAACCTCCCTAGAAGATGGAAGCTTGTCCTTTGCACCCCTACGAGCTAGGCAAACCCCAACCACTAGAATCGACACCACATGTTGGCCAAAGCCAATAGCAACAACGATGTGAAGGAGATTGGGAGCGGCATCCCCCACCCTCACCTAACCGTTGCCCACCAAGGCGATCGGATTATGACTTTTCCTCTCACCTATTGCCATTCCTAGGCCGTTTCCAACCGATTCCAACATCAGCAAGCTCCCCCATCACCACAATCAGAACCCCCACACCATACTCACCAAAACCCCTCACAATCCCACCTCGATTCGCCTACAAATCTCCAGCCGACAACTCTTGCAATCTTGCACGATTCTCCAAGTTTACGGCTAGATTCTGACTGATTTTGACACTGGAAATACCCTTTTCACAACCATTTGAATCCCCATCCTCTTCTCAATAAAACCCACACCTCCACCGACCTCCCTCGCTTGTCATCCACAAGTTGCCAAATCACGTTTTTTGTCGTAGGGGTTCGATCATTAGATTTCAAACTTAAGATGTAGAGAGTGCTTGTAAAAGAAATTTGAGATATGAAGGGTTATTTTAAATTTTTATTTTAATTTCAAATTTAATGTAATGTAAACGACCACTTTACCATTTACCATTACATTAAACCATTTTCTATTAATTTAAGGGTGAAAATTTTGAATTTATAAAACCAAGGGTGGTAACTTGTAGATTCACCAAACCTTGGGTGGGAACATGAAGTTTACTCAATTACTCTAATCTGTAGTATCACCAATTATATGGATTGTTAGATAAATTTAAAAAAAAAAAAAAATCATCTGATTCCATGATCCATCCGACCAGTAGATTTGAATAATTAACAATGTTATACCATTTTATGTGCATTCATATTTTGGATACATCCACTACAATGATGGAAACTATTGCCAGTTGCCTGTAAAAGTGTAAATTTCTACTCAATCATTAAATTTAAAAAAGAAAAAAGAAAAAAGAGTAAACATCACCAAATGGCTTGGAAGTGAGGCGCAGCGCGGCGCGATGCAATACACTCCTAAAACAAGGGGCAGCAATCTGCCTCAATTCAATACTCTCCATATACGGCAATATACTCGACTGGACAGGAAACAGAGATGAACCAGCAATGAGCCGCGGCTTGTGATGGCAGTACTATAGAGAAAGGATATATTAATATTGATGTGAGTGCGGGAATCTCATGCTCATCTCCGAGCAGCATTTCCACCTCGAGTTGGTGCCTCATACCCACTTCCAGATCGGGCAGGTGGTGTTGCAGAACCGTAAGGTGCATTACTCAGAGGAGGTACTTGGCCATGTGGTGCAGTGGCACCTCTAGCTGGTCCATCATAGCTAGTGCCCCTAGACGAATCATATCCAGGTCCTCTTTGCATATCATAAGCTTGTCCTTTTTGCACATCATAACCGTGCCCTCTTTGTGGATCATAACCAGCTACTCTTTGTGGATCATACCCAGCTACTCTTTGTAGGTCGTAGCCAGGTCCTCTCTGCGCATCATAAGCAGGACCTCTTTGTGTGTCATAACCAGGACCTCTATGAATGTCATACCCAGGCCCCCTTTGTGCATCGTAGTTAGGTCCTCTTTGTGCATCATAGTTAGGACCCCTTTGTGCATCATAATTAGGACCTCTCTGTGCATCATAACCAGGTCCTTTTGATGGCTCATAACCAGGTGCTCTAGGTACGTCATAACCAGCCCTTGCAGGAGGATGCCCAGATTGAGCTCCAACGTAAACAGGAGTACCAACACTAGCATTGGCACCAGTACTAGCACCAGCACTAGCAGGAGGGAGAGGGCCATGCCCCTATAAGACAAAATTTGAAGTGTGACATCAGTCTTAACTTCCATCTAAAATCAACAATATACATAATAATATTAGACTTCCCATCCAGCAGGTTCAGACAGGTTTTAAAATTGGCCTCACGTTTTAGTCATAGTTCAATGCCACCTACCCATTTCAAGTTTAAATACTTCTAAGCAACATAAATTATCGACTTCAATCTGTAAAATCAGTCTAGCTTCATGTTCTAAGTACGCAACTTCATGCCAAGCCACAGAACATTGATATTTTTCAGGCTTGTGTTACATTATTTCAGTTGTTTCCTCTATTCAAAAGTGACAACTAAAAATCCAATTCACATATAGGTAAAATGTAATGCCAAATAACTGGATCATCATTCCTTTCAATACCAGTGTAAGTAAACCCAAAGTAAGGAAAGTAGCATACCTGGGGAACACCATAACCATCTTCATAAGCATTTTGTACTGCAGGATGTCCAGAAGTATCATTTTCGTTGTTTCCAGTTGCACTGCCATAAGGCCCACCTATGTTTGTTGCAAATATGAACCATCGTAAAATACATAACCAAGAACAGAAAAGTAATCCAAAAATGAAGAAGTAAAGAAAGAAAAAAAATACCAGCTCTTCTATCAACATTAGAGACATTTGTCAACTCGGCCCGAAGCTTTTCCACTTCCCTTGCCATGGTAATATAGTTCTTTTCCATCACCTGAAGTGACTCAAGGTGGTCATTGTAAAATTTCTTTTCATATTCATAAGTAGCCCTGCATGATCAATTGATAAAAAGTCACAAATGTCCATAACTAGAGGCAAGTTAGGAGGAAAATACAACAAAAGGCATGTGTAAAAACAACTCCAACAAAGAGTGATACATTATTAACTGTTACAGAACCAGGGATGTTCAGAAAATAATTACTTGGATCCAAATTTTCTACAAATAAACTCTGTTGGTGCAAATAAAAATAACTTTTATTTCCGGATTTACAACTTAAGTAACACATACAGATATAAAATTCTCAAGAAATAGTTAAAGAATGTCTGAGAAATGAAAATTGAGTAAAATCTATACACCTAAGCAGCTAGAATTAATATTTATCTTCATTTTGTCAAAAATATCAAGTTAATCTCTACTTAACTTACATCTAGGACACCCATAAACAAGATTCCAAGATATACCTGCAATGATGATATTCTTGTCTGAGGCCATCAAGTTCTGACATCAGAGCTGGTATCTGCTGCACATCTGCATGGGTCCTCTGAAGATCTTGAGTTAGTTGATGAACTTTAGAAATAAGTTCCTCTCTTGCTACAGCCAAATTCTGAGCATCTGTCCTTGCCTGCTGCAACTCCAATTTAACAGGCTCTGCAGCTTTTAAATCAGCCTCCATCTTGGCAATCTTGTCAGTAAGGCTTCTCATTTGTTGCTCTCTCTCAGACTTCATAGCCCCTATTTGAGCATGCAATATCTGCAACTCATGCTGCGCTGCAGCAAGTTCTTGTCTCAAGGTTCCATGAGTAGCGGCAAGCCGCTGGTTCTCCGTCACAAGCTTCTGCATCTCCACATGTTGAGCAGCAATTTTCTGTTCCATAACTTCTGGAGGCGGCAACATGTCAAATGGAGGGAAGGCACCTGGCATCGGACGTATTCCAGGACCATATGGGTCAGGATGCATTATGCCAGGGCCTGGAAGAGGCCGCCTTAGATGAGGTGGTGGCATTCGACCTTTACTTCCCATGTCAAGTAGTTATAACCTGAAATAAGAAATATAACCAATAAGAATACAAAATCACAGATAATCTGGTACTTCAAATTCGCTTGCTCTGCATCAACTTCAAAATTTATTGCCTTTATTGCCAACAGTAAATTGTACACTGTAAAAAGCAATACTCCAATACAGTGAAAGAGGATCAAAATTGAGATGACATCAATGTAAGAGTAATGCATTCAAGTCTTTAGGCTGAAGCTCGCTGAGAAAAATATTGGAAAATATACAACCAGTTAAATAGATATTCCTTAAACCGATTATAAAATAGTTTATTCACGTACATTTCCTTAAAAAAAAATTTAGGTTACAGAAGAATTTGAAAGCAGAATATTTGATGAGAACACTAAATTTTCAATGATAACAACATCTTTAGTCTACCAAATACAGAAAAATCCTAAGAAAAACAAAACCCTACAAATTCAAATTTATCAATAGCCCAAAATGGGTCACATTATTTTTCTCAAGATAATTCAGCTGGAAAGTCAATTTATAAATTCATAATATTTATCATAAAGCAAGCAAAAAGAAATTAAAAAAAAAAAAAAAAAAAAAACATTAACTACCGGTGAAATTGATTTCAAACCCATAAACTAAAATAATTTTTAAAAAAAATTGAGAAACAATATGATGGCAATCAATTGGTGTGAACACCATTTTACAAGAAGCATTAACGAAGATAAGATGATATTAGAGATTTTTCCCTGATAACCCTAATCGAAGAGGGAAGTTAAAAAGAGAAAAAAGATGAAACGACATCGTTGTCGCTTACCTAAACGGAGATAGCAGAAGAAAATCGTCAAGAGAATGATGAGCGTTGAGAGAGAAGAAGAAGCAAGCTGAGCTCACCGTAGTAATGTAAAACCCTGCAAAAGGCAATTGGAATTTGGAATAAAATTAAATTAAAAAAAAAGAAAGAAACTGGACCAATAAAAATTAAAACTATTGATTGCTAAAGTTCTAATACGACGTCGGTTTGGCGACCTCCCGGTCTGGCCTTTTTGTGTTTATTTTCTAATTTTTGTCTTTTGTGTATTATTTTCTGCACCCAAATATTATATATTATGCCATTCAAATTTCAATCCAAATCAAAGCAAATAATTCCAACTTTTATCAGGAATTTTGTGAAAAGTTTTTTACAAATTTTGGAATTTGAGGGAATTTTTTATAAATTAACGACATATTTGAATTTAAAATTTGCATAACATTCACCAAGAAATTGACATGATATCTCTGTTAAAATTCTATCATCCTAAAATTGTTGCCAAAAACTTTTTATTGGGAAGATCTCCTTTTACACCAAAGAGTCATCATCAGGATTACACATTGATTCATCAGAAATATGATTTTGATGCTGTAAATTTTATCCTACACAGCAACTTTACTCATGCATGGTTCATTTATGCAACTACTTGAGGAATTTTGGCAAGTGATTCTTGTATCTTCTTCTCTTCAAAAGATAGGTCTACCATGGCTCCTTGCAAATACTTCTCATATGAAGCTAAGTCGAAATGACCATGGCCGCACATTGCCATGAGAATGACCTTTGCTTCTCCAGTCTCTTTACAATGGAGAGCTTCCCTGACGGTGGCTGCAATCGCATGTGTTGGCTCCGGTGCTGGAATTATTCCTTCACTCCGAGCAAATTGTATGGCACCTGCGACAGAAAAAACTTATGATCGTAAAACTGTATCACTTGATCATTCCTATGCGTTTACAAATTCTATTATGTAACTAGATATAGTTGTCCAAGTCCAGAAAAACGAAAATTACTTTGAAAGCACTCAGTCTGAGGGATTGAAATCGCTTCCATGAGGCCCAATTCATAGACGTGTGAAAGTAATGGTGCCATACCATGGTATCGTAGTCCTCCTGTACCAACATATTAAGGATCATCACTAAAGATAAATATGAAGAGAATCTAATCTAATCTTTTCATATTAACAATATATTACCCGCATGAATTGGATCAGGAATGAAGTCATGTCCAAGTGTATGCATCTTCATCAATGGAGTCATCCCTGCCGTATCACCAAAATCATACGCATAAACACCTTTCGTTAGAGAAGGACATGCAGTGGGTTCAACTGCTCTTATGACAGGGTTGATTTTCCCACTAAGTTTCTCTCGGATGAATGGGAAACTAAGCCCAGCAAAATTGGATCCACCACCAGTACACCCTATGATAATGTCAGGGGATTCACCTATAGCCTCCATTTGTTTTATACACTCTTCACCTATAACAGTCTGGTGTAGCAAGACATGATTTAGAACACTTCCGAGGCAGTACTTAGTATCAGCATTTTTAGCTGCAACCTCTACAGCTTCTGAAATAGCTATTCCTAAACTTCCCGGGGTTGATGGATCCATTTGAAGGATTTTACGACCTGCTTCAGTTAAGTTAGATGGAGATGGGTGTACCTGTGCACCCCAAGTCTGCATCATTAATCTCCGGTAGGGTTTTTGATCATAAGAAGCACGGACTTGCCAGACCTATATGATATTCGAATGGAAGGTAATTAACTCAAGACTATAGGAATTGAAAATAAGAATGAAGTCAGGTTTAACACAACTTGGAATCTAACAAACCAACAATATACAAGAAATTAGCATGTGTGATGGTATCAAATGACTTATTGACAAGGGATAACAGAGTATCACTGGTATTCAATTTTTAGGTATTTTTTTTAGACATTAAATGACAAATAAAAAGGCAATGCATTCAATCGAATAATTTACACAAATAAGCAATATGCAGAAGTGAAACAATCTAGAACCACTACGAATTCAGCCAACCCATTTAACTAATAAACCAAATTTGATTCAATCTACTTGAAAAATAAGTCGGATTAAAGAATAAATATAGTATGTCATACCCCACAGTCCAGACCAAATAAGCTGCATGCAAAGGCCAGTGAACTCCCCCACTGGCCAGCACCAGTTTCAGTCACAACTTTTTTGATGCCTTGCTTTGCATTATAGTAAACTTGTGGAACTGCAGAGTTAGGTTTATGTGATCCAGCCGGGCTGACACCTTCATATTTGTAGTAAATTCTGGCAGGTGTACCAAGAAGCTTCTCCAACCTCTTGGCTCTGAATTCAACTAAAGAACATGAGATAATTCCAAGGCTTGTACAAAAAGATATATTAAAAGAGATCATATTATGCGATAGCAAAGCATACCTAATTAAAGGTGATGGGCGCCAAAGCCTATAAATATCAATAACTTCATCTGGGATATCTATGAACCTGTCATTGCTAACTTCTTGCTTAATCAATTCATCAGCAAACAGGGGAGTCAAATCTTCAGGTTTGATTGGTTCAAAAGTTTGAGGATTCAAAGGAGGAGGAGGTTTTACTGATAAATCTGCAATCAGATTGTACCATTGACGTGGAATTTCAACTGGTTTGACATCAGCGTTCAGAGTTGCTCTTGCTCTACCACCATTTGAAAGCCTCAGATGTGCAATCTTTGTCTTTGGCACAAAACTCCCAAGAGATTGTTCCCCATCTGAAGGTTAAAAAGGCACTTAGAAGACACATAAAGCAACATTAAAACAACAAATAAAGAAGTTTAAGACTAAGCCGCGCATCAACCGAAGTGAAGTGTCCCCTAGAAGAAAAGGCAATGATATCTGTTATGAGTAGCATAAAGTGTGGTAAAATATTTTCATAATTAACTTGTAACAGCATCTACACTTCCAACTAATACAGAAAAATGTTATAGCCCATAAAAAACTACTTGTCTGGGGATAAAGCCACTGAATCCACATATCAAACAGGTAGGACCTCATCTCATATGCCCCAAATAAACCGACCAAATTACAATGGCTTCAAGAACTATGCCTTAAAATAGAAACCTGTGTAGTTCAGATGACAAGCTATTATCTCAAGTAGAATTCATCGTGTTTCAACAAAATAGGTTGAGATCCATATATTTATTTTCCAAAGCCACATTTTCACTTTTCTGATTTCTTTAAAGATACAAGTTTTTAAGTCATCTTTTTACAATAGTCCAATGCAGATTGAGTATATAAAAGAACTGTTAAAATTCAGCTATGAATTCAGAACCACAGATCATCAAATTTTACAGCAGTGACATGGATTAGTAAAGAACAGTAACAGGATCTTCAAATCATAAGTTCAGAATAAAGGGAACTTATCTTTTGCTTCAAAACACAAAACAATAAACGCTTAAAACCCACCAAAAAAGAACATATAAAAATATTACCTTGGATGCGTATCCTTTTTGAACTCGAAAATGGAAGTGGGTTGGCATAGAAAAGTGACTGCGAGACCATTTCCAGAAACTCTGAATTCTACTGAAAACCCGGAATACTAGAACTGATGAGTAAAGTTGAGAGTTACGTTCATTATTTTTATTTCCTGAGCTCGGAAAAACACAAATAATCAAATATGAAGATTTTTTTCTAATTTAATGGGAGCAGCATTGATGAAAGATGTCTGAACACGGCAGTAGAATGAAAAATATTGAATTTGACTTGGACCCGCTTTCTTTAAAAAATTAGGTTCCAAGAAAGAGTATTAAATTTCTACTGGTTGGAGTAACGACTTGTCGTTCATTTTAGTTCCCCACTACCGCTTTGTCGTAGATCCTGTACTTTCAATGTTTTCATCATCCTATCCAATATTCCCACGAATCCCACCTATAACTAAATCTTAATTTTCAAAATATCAAGTTTGTCTAAATGATAGATTTAGTAATAAAATCATATAAACCTAATTTAATTGTACTTAACAAAATAACAACCGCAAAATTTATTGGAATACGCTAGACTATCAAATCTAACACCATGTTGCATAATCTAACATGATTTAATTAAATTATTAGAAATCATACAATTAAATGTTAAACTCGATCTCCACAACCGAGCCTAGTATAATTTAGCATTATATATTAAGAATATATTATTTGTTGTTTCATTAAAGTATAACTTGTAAACCATTGAATTTTACACCAGTTTTCTCCTTTAAATAAATTCCCTACATTTTAAAAAGAGAAAATGACATATTCACACCCGAGGCTTAGCAAAATCCTAAGTTGATACTCTTAATTACATTTATTCTAGATTCTCACCCTTAAAGTAATGTTGTCTATTTTATTTTAACTTATTTTTAACTTTTCACAGTAACACAACACACGTTAGCACCCTAAAATGTATTGGCGGTTTCTTTGGCAAAAGATGGGTTCATTTTAAAAAAATGGCTCATGTTAACAACGCCCAGCCAACGGTTTTTTGGCTTTTTTCAATCGATTTCGAAATCTAAAATCACTTTCGAGACCACCGTTAGACTCTCCACAACCTTCTCTACAAAACCCATACCTTCAATTGCCGACCCTACTCACCGTTTTTTACCACCTCCAACAATCATTAACTGTGTTAGTTTAAGGGTGAAAATCTGGAATAAATGCAATTAGGGGTATCAACTTAGAATTTTGCCAAATCTCAAGTGAGAATATGTCGTTTACTCTTTTAGCTAGAAAAATGAAATTATTAAGTTAACTATAACATGATTAGGGGTGAGCGGTTCTGGGTACCCTCCATTAATCAGAACCGGGACCGCACAGTACAGGTTCCCAAAACAATGAACGAAAACCAAAACCGCATAGTACAGATTCTTCAATTCAAGGAACCGGAACCTGAAATGCAGGTTCCGGTTCCTTTCTGGGGTACCCTATAAAAAATCAATTACCCCCCTATTAGTTTAAAAAATGACNTCCCACCTATAACTAAATCTTAATTTTCAAAATATCAATTTTGTCTAAGTGATAGGTTTAGTCATAAAATCATATAACTTAACTTAATTGTACTTAATAAAAATAACAACAAACAAAATTTATTGGAATACGCTACACTATCAAATCTAACACCATATAGCACAATCTAACATAATTTAATTAAATTATTAAAAATCATACAATTAAATGCTAAACTTGACTCCACTACAGAATCTAGTATAATTTAGCATTATATATTAAGAATATATCATTTGTTGTTTCATTAAAGTATAACTTGTAAACCATTGAATTTTACACCAGTTTTCTCCTTTAAATAAATTCCCTACATTTTAGAAAGAGTAAATGACATATTCACACTCGAGGTTTAGCAAAATCTTAAGTTGATATCTTTGATTGCATTTATTCTAGATTCTCATCCTTAAAGTAATGTCGTTTTTTTTATTTTAACAGATTTTAAACTTTTCACAGTAGTACAACACACGTTAGCACGTTAAAATGCATTGACGCTTTCTTTGGCAAAAGATGGGTTCATTTAAAAAAAAAAAATGGCTCATGTTAGCAGCGCCCAGCCGACGGTTTTTTGGCTTTTTTCAACCGATTTCGAAATCTAAAATTACTTTCGAGACCATCATTGAACTTCCCACAACCTCCTCTATAAAACCCATAACTTCAATTGTCGACCCTACTCACCGTTTTTAACCACCTCCAACAATCAGTAACAGTATTAATTTAAGGATGAAAATCTGAAATAAATGTAATCAAGGTATCAACTTAAAATTTTGCTAAATCTTGGGTGGGAATATGTCGTTTACTCTTTTAGCTAGAAAAATGAAATTATTAAGTTAACTATATACATGATCAAACATAGTTCCTGAAATTTAACTTGCAACTAAAACCCTAAACAAAATTGTCCACACCCCCACCTTCATTGCCTCCATCTTTATAATTTTAATAAACCCTAATCATATTCAGTGTAAAGATAAAAATAATTAAATAAAAAATATAATTCCCTTAATTTCAGCTTATAATTACACAATTACAGAATTTCAGCTAAACTCTTTAAATAAAAAGATCAGCAAACTGGACGAAAATGTAATTACACATCCTCCTAAAAACCCTAGCCATCACCATAACCTATATATACTCAAAAGTCCTTGACATTTAAAACACAATGTCGTTCAGTCGCCGGCCCCCCATTATGTCACTTGAGGCGGCGTGGGGGCCGTCGATGCAACTCCCGATGTACTTTTGCCCCATCGCATGAATTCTCCCATTCGTCCCCACGTCACAACCAAAACTCTTTCCAACATGTCCAACAACAGCCGTACACAGTACGGCGTTTCCAAGACTGCCGGCCGCCAGACCTCAGCCAAATCATGGGGTACCGGCTGCGCTGTATCCCGTATCCCACCGTGTTCCCGGTGGCAGTACTCATCGTGCCGGCGAGGGAGCCTTTGGAAACATGTGTTGCGGTGGCTGTCTGTTCGCTCCTACCAAGACCTGAAGACGTTTCCACTGTAAGGTCAACGTGAATCAAAAGAGGTGCGCCATTGTTTCGGCCATCGCCGCTTCAGCCATCCCCTCCCTCGTGATGGCGCGTGGCCATAAGGTTGAATCAGTCGCTGAATTCCCCTCGTCGTCAGCGACAGCATTGACAACATCTAGAAAACATCTGAAGCTTTGAAGGTTCTCAAAACTATTGGAGCTTATCCCGACGCCTTGAAGGCGAAGGACAGTGAAACCAATCGTCCCGGAAAAGGAAAGATGAGGAACCGCCCTTATATTTCAAGGAAGGGGCCGCTGATTGGTTGAGGTGGTGATATTTACCTATATTTAAGGATAATTAATATAAATGATTTATTATTCCTATGCTAAATTAATGATTTTTTTGACATAATTATCTCCTAAATAATGTAAAGCCTGATGACCATTTGGATTCAATCCTGGCATTAGATCTTGCAACTTAAATAGTATCATCATATACAAATGGCTGACAAAATTATGTAGAAATTCAGTCCTATACAACTGAAAGTTCTTACAGAAACCAAATTACAGTAAACAGCTCAACGACATTCGAACTTGACAATCTGCAGAAGGCAAAGATGAATGACAAAGACAGTCCAAAATCAACCAGTACAGTTTGTTGTAGTGCCAGGATTATAAAATCTCACTCCCATTTGCATTTAACCTTGTGGGTATGCCTAAAGTCACACCTTAATACCAAAGTTTCATCCATTCTTCTCAGAGCAAAACTCTCCACCAGCACATAGCAACCAAATCTCTGCCATCCACTTTCACTTGTATTCTCTTCTACTCTTTCCACTCTCACTTCCGTTTCCCTCCCACCACCAACCCACCCTCCGTCGTCTTCCACCCATCTCATTTTCTCAACAATGGCTACACTCAATCCCACACTAGCCCTTCTGACTCTATTTCTGTCATATGCTCTAAACCACACAAATCCGGCATGATTCGCTCTATTATCCCTTATAGCTTCCGTACCAAACACTGAACTCACTTCCCTTTTCACGTTTGTATTCACATTCACAACATTGCTTCCATTGTTCTGGCATGAAACAATCTCTTCCCACCGTTGCTCAAGAGTCATCTTATAAAACACTGACTTCTTCATTTGGTATCGAAGTCTAGCTTTCTCTCTTACAAATATGAAGGGACAGTACCATGACCCTACAACATTTGAACTCGAGCGCTTGCTACTTATAGCAAAGTCGAAACTTGGAAGAAGTGCTCTGAGAGAATTATCGAGGCCTAGAGCTTCCCTTAGTCGAGAACGAACTAATCTTGAGCTGCGAACTTCCCAGCCTTTCTTTCGCAGAAATTTTGGAGGAAGGCCATCAATAGCAGCAGACTTTGCAAAGAAAGTGTGCCTGTGATATCGATGGATCTTGAATTGCTGGCATATGTTTCTGTGATCAAAAGGTTTTGGTTTCTCATCGTTTATGATATTGTTGAAGCAACAAATCCCCATGTCCGTCTCCCTTGAACTTTTGCAAGCTTGCCTGCAAGTCAAGAAAAATTTTTAGCTTTCTGAATAATAAATATATAAACAGAGGTTCAGTAAAGAAATATATGAGCATAAGTACCCTTTGTATTTGCCTTTAGCTCTGATAACATAGTAGCGATTAGACGAGAGAGGTTGACCGAGAACTGGGATAAACAAAACTTTAGTGTTACCAATCTCTTGATAATCTGATGAATGAATAACTGTTAATAACTTGTCTTGAGGAAATGGTAATCTTTTAACTCTTCGCAATTTACATGTGCCACAGCAAAATGAATCTTCTGCTTCTGCTTCTTCATCTGTAATTACTAGAAAACCTGAAAGTGGGCCCTCTTGTGGTTCTACTGAAAGATTACTCGGGAAATTTCTGTACAGGGATAGAGGCCTCGTAACATACATGGCCGCTTCGCTTATCCTCCTGTATGTGTGTTGATGCAGGGGAGAAGAGGGGTAAGGTGGGTTTATGTGATGATTTTTGCTTAAGAATTAAGAAATGGAAAGCTGGGTAAATGATTGTATGAATGATTGAACTTCAGTAGTTTAATGCTCAAATGGGGCCTGATTTTCAATAATTTCTGCAGTGGGAATTGATAAAGTGGGCTGCCCAAAAAGTGGGAATTGATAAAGTAGGCTTGGGTAGAACTCAAGCCCAAAAGTTAGCTCAAGGGAAGAACTCAAGCCCAAAAGTTAGCTCAAGGGAAGGAAGAGCCTAATCATTTATATACATTATAACAGTCTATTATTGGGATGATATGGGATAAATTCAACTTTTAACACTCTCCCTCACGCTCAGCGTGTAAGGTCGGGGTCCAAACCCATTATTGCCAAAACCAAAGAGGGAAGAGAAACAAACGTGATCTTGATACCATGATAAAGTGAAATTAGGTAAAATTTAGTTTCAAAAGCTAGCTCAAGAGAGAAGGGAACCAATCACTTATATATATCATAACAGCCTACTATTGGGACAAGAGTCGGAGAATTTGACAATTGGCCACTCAAGATTTAACTAAGAAAGAAGATAAAGTAGACCAATATGAGACAAAGAAAAACTTGCTATTGTGCTTCCACTTTTTCTTGCAATATGTTATAAAGCTTTGGTGTGCTCTTTATCGTCTTCAAACTTTATATTCATTTACAATGGTTAAATTGATGGTTCCAATATTTATTTAAAGCTTTAATTCCTACAATCAGGAATTCTTTTCTTCTTAGAAATTTTCTTTTGCCAAATTGAAATGCTATACTAAGTAATAGTGTTTTAAACCCCGGCCTAACCAAGGTTACCAATTTTCTTATTCATCGAAAACTCTAAGAATTAGAACGACGATCAGCGAACAATTGAAGGTTGGGATGTTAAGGCTTTTAAAGAAGAAGGGCCGATGAGTACAATGGTGATGATAGAAGTGATTTTCGATAAATGAATCAATCAGAAATCGCAAAACTAAATCGATGCCAACAACGAGCTGTTGCTGATGATTGGCAAGCCAATCGGGGGAAAGGTGAGATGGGTTTTGGTCAAGAGACTGAGGAGAATGTTTTCGTGGTGATGGAGAGTGTTATCGTTGCCAAAAAGAAGCTCATTTGCCCTGGTTTGTTGACGCCAACAATGGTGTTTGGAATGTTTTTACAAGATTTCAAACCTGTACGAACTTATATGCAATTTTTAGGGGTGTTTTTATTAAATTTCAAACTTTTGGACAATGGTTTGATCCACCGGTAAACCTGGGACCCAACAACTTTGCTGAGTTTCACCTCGGGGTTTGTTATTAAAACGTTGCTAAGCAGGTTCTTAGAATTTAAATGCAATTATGCAAAGCGCATCTTATGCTAGATAAATTCACCAAGAAGTTCTATTTCTATACATCTTATGACATATAACCAAAAGATCCCATTATCCTACAATGTCAGAAAATTATGCCAAAATTTTGATGATTAAGACTAACAAGATCACAGCTATTTTCAATTTCCAATTATCTTTATTCAAGAGCCACTGTAGGAATTGATCAATGTGTGATCACAATGCATCTCTGAGTACCAAATGATTTTCAGTTTATGCGCTTAATTTAAGATAGTTCTTTATAATTCCCAACATCTCACCTCCCGGAAAACGTCCAAGACAACCCCTTGCCGCCGCAATCTCACTGAACTCACAAACTGAATCACCACTGAAAGCTTGAAGCTGATGGCTACTTCTCTCTTTCTCTGTTTTCGAATCTTCTGTCAGGTCTTCACCAGCCATAAAGGCTGGAAGAGGAAATGGGTCAAGGGAAGTTTTCATGACAGTAGACTCCCCTCCCACGGCCCCTACAAAGTCTTTTAACCGGCACATCGTGAAGGGAACTGGTTCAAAGCTGTGATCTCCATATTCAACTGGAGTTGAGTGGTCTCCCGTGACAGAAAGGAAGTACTGGAAATCCCCAGTTCTCTCTGCCTGCCAGAGGAGTCTGGCCAGCTGACCTATTGCTTGATCGACAGCTTCCAATGCTTTGACTTTGAAAACACTCGCCTTATCATGGCCTGCATCATCTACTGCCTGCAATACAAATTGTGAAAAAATCCGTAACATCATGACATGGAGATTCTCTAACCCAAGCTTTAAGCTCATAAGCATAATAACTATATGATTTCCATTATCCGATGCCATAAAAGAAATCTTAAGCATGTAAGAAAAAAATCAACATCGATAATCAAGTAAATGAAATGATTTTGGACCCTCAATTCAGCTTGTTATGAAAGACAATGAGATAATGCCAAAAAGGTCTTCAATTCAGAGGGTCCAGAATCAATAATATATGACATTTGACATCATTGCAGATGGAGTTGCAAAAGAGTTCATCTTTGGTGACACACAAATCCAATTAGGTTCCTCAGAATTTTTTTAGCTAGCAATGATTACTGAAGCTCATAGAAAGAAAGAAAATAAAAAAGAAATAACACTAATGTCACCCTAATGCAAGTGTTTAAAGTGGTACAGCAAATAGCATGTGGAAACACTAAAAGACAAAATTATACCCAGCAGTCAGAAGGTTAAGACCTTAATGTGGAGAAATCCAAAATCATAGCCACCTGGTCGCCCTGGCTTGTGCTCATCCTCCCCTGGCACAAATACATTAGGGCATGTATTCAAAGGAGCTGAGAGTGCCTTAGCTATGGCATTGGCTTTGGAAGTTAAAAGTGTTCGATAATCTCCAGTTGCACCAGGAGCCTCCAGGATATCAATATCAAGTGATAGGCCCAAACCAGCTATTATTTTAGTAGGAGCTACCATGCATGGGCACAGCCCATGTTTCTTTTGAAATGAAGGAACCTGTAATACACAATTTGGAAAAATATATGTATAATTAAACAGATTTTTCCAAGATGTAAATTATAACCAAATACCACTCCATATCCCTTCCTCCCTCCCACCCAAAAAAAAAAAAAAAAAAAAAAAAGAGATCAGCAATTTTAAGCAATGCCATCTGCACTGTAGAAATGGAAATAGTAACACGATGACAGATCAGTCAGGATTAGAACAAACCTCAATTCGAATACCACAGCCCCGCAAAAGAACAACATTGGCAATGTTCTTCCCTTCTGCTGCCCGTTTTGCATTCAATGGGTGAGAAACGAGAATTTTTGAAACCTCCTTGGATAACTCATTAACAACTGCTGCTGTGTGCCTTGCTTCATCAGTATCATCTAGTGGCTCAGCTTGCAATAGTAGGCGATTGTCCTTCAAAGGATCAGTCCCCGATATATTTCCACTTAATTTTGGTCCTTTTACGACGACCCCACACCTGTGTTCTGTTGCATACCTATGGTAGATGATCATGTGTTAAATTTGTCTATATATTAATTCTGAAATTTAGAAGCTTGCAGCATCAAGCCAGAAACTAAGGTATTTAATGTACCTTAAAATTTGAGAATTTTATCCAACTTGATTAAAGGGAGAGACACTTTACTTAAGTCTGAATCATAGGAACTTTTAAATAAATAATTTGGTTGTTCATAGACCACAATATATTTTTAAGTTTACTGAAATTTTAGTTGAGTAAGATAAATTTCTTAAATCATCCATCTGCACAGCAAAAACATGCATATAAATTGATAAGTATGGTGGAAACATCAGCACCTGACTCTAACTTCATACTGCGGAAAAGATGGGAGCTTCATTCTATCCAATGCTGCACAGAGGACGGGCCCTTCATCCTCAAAATGCCGGTCAGCCCTCCTACTGGTAACTATTCCAGTCTTCTCATCCAATGTAGCAAAATTTGACTGGAGATTGAACATTTGTGATGGAATTTCACAACCAATTTAAAACATACTACCAAATTATACAAAAGAGAAAAAAAAAAAAAAATTGACCAAATGAAAATGACAACAAAAGAGACTATAAGAATAAGAAATTTTTAAAAGATAATATATCAACATTTATGTTTGTCACTTCAAATATGACTGATCTGACTTGATATGGGGCAAAGCATGGTGAATGTTTAGAGGGAAAACCAGAGAATTGGTTCCATATGAAAATGAAAACATCAGAAAAGTGCAGATCTAGATACTACCATGCTATTAAAAAATTGTTGCTTGCTGAATTTAAAAAAGTTACTAATTAAAATCATGCAAGATCTATCAGAGCTATATGCCTTCATTTTATACCCACCTTGAATGCAATATCCCCGGGTGACATGGCCAATCCGGCACCCATGGATTCAAAAGCGCCTCGTCCCCTGTAGTATACTCGTGGGTCATAACCCAATAAAGAAAGGTGTGCTGTGTCACTTCCACAGCCCAAGCCTACTTCGACAGGATCCATGAGACCATTAACTCCAGCAGATGCAATGGCATCTAAATTGGGCACATTGGCTACTTGCAAAGGAGTCTTGTATCCAAACCTTGGTAGAGATACGTCTCCCAACCCATCGATCAACACAAATGCCACTCTCCTCTTGGGCTGCTGGTGACTACTCATGCTTAAATAGGTATCTTCCTTCAGCATAGTACTGAAAATGAATAGAAAATCGAAGTGTCTGAAATTGCCAACTTCACTATATACAGTTATTACCAGATACAGCAGCTACAGCCAGGAAAAAGGGAAAAAACAAATAAAAAATTGTAACTAAAGAAATTCTACCGCACACTTGAGGGATTGAAATTTATACATACAGTAACAATATCTAAAATGTAACTCAGAACACAATACCATGGATGTGTCATATATAGTTTCTAAATTTGATAATTTATCTTGAATGGCCTGTGAAACCCAAGTTGGAGACTCAAACACCAAGAGACCCATATAAGTAAAATTCAGGCACAAATTTTTTTTATAAAATGCAAAAGAACTTTGCCCAGCTTTTAACAGTTCAATTCATTTGATTAGAAGTTTAGACAAAAACTCAAAAATACTAAAATCAATTGGCCATGCAACATAGCAATCAAAACTAACAGAGAACCACCCCACACAAGCTTTAGATTAATATTCAACAAAAACTGACAATTCACTTTCTCTACATAATGCACAGAAGGTCAGTAGCACATAAAAGCATCCATTCTTCTTCTTTCAACCACTAAAAATAAAGAAAGCAAAGAAAAAATTCTGAATAAACTTAACAAAGATAAGATAAAAGAGTGATTTTTTTCAATATCAACAGCAAAATCCAAACGGGTAATCGCATTACCAGCTAAAATTGGATAAATGAACAGCTAGAAACAATAAATCAACATGCAACCCCACGACAACATTAAATCAGAGAAATCCAAGCTAAGACTGTAAGGAAAAAAACATAGGAATCTCGATCCAGACTAAGAAATTAACTAAAAGTGTGAAGTTATAAAGCGAAGAGTGCGAAAACTCACCTCAATAAAGAAAGAATAGATTCAAGTTTAAATCTTCGAAGCTTGTTTAGAATCGAAAAGAGGAGGAAAACGGGTTCTGATTATGCTCAAAGGAAGAATATTTAAACCTCACCTTTCACTTTTTTTCTTTTTAATCGAAGGCCAAAAAGAGGTTGGAAATTAGAAAAAAAAAAAAAAAGTGTTCTTCTTACAGAATAAACTTTTAATATTATTATTTAAAGAGTTGAGTATTTTTACTAATTTACAATTGGAGTTGTAAAAAGTTTAATCCTTTTTTAAAATACTTTTGTAAAACATAACCATACGGAATTTTGCAAGTAGCAAAAACAGAACAACCTACGTGGACTGAAACTATACATTTGATTGATCAAAGACTTGTTCCCTGTTCTGTTACGCGCCATGTGTTGTCCCTCTGTTTCTCTACGTTGCAAGTTTAGAAGCTACTCCTTTACAAAAGCACTCCCAACTAATAAACTCTTTTTAACTTTTTGCTTAAATGCTGTAGACAATATTAATCGATCAAGCAAACGCAATTCTCATCGAAAGAAAAAACAAAGAGCATTCACAATATGAAGTCGATTCTCACCTCACGTTTGGTTGCTTCACAGTCGTCGCTTTCTAGACTACTGTAAATGCTTATGCTACTCACTCTTTTAACTGTTTCTTTTTTTTTCTTCTTCTTAAGTAATTTGGGCAAGTTTAGTGACCCATTTGTCGTTTTGTCAAAATTCTATTGCTTTCTTGAGTTTTTGCTATTAGGAGCACACTCCCTTATACCTACTTTTATATGTAAAAAATTACATATTTGTTCAAACATATTGAACAGTTTGTGCACTTTGTTGCTATTACTAGGTCTGGGAGGCCATCTTATCAGGATTCTTGGACTAACAGCATTGTCTGGCATCAAGGTGAGAGTTTTCTAGACATATTTATTGTAACTTGTTGATCACGTCTAACACTATCTTGCTTTTGAATTGCAGGAGACCTGCTTTCACCTGATTCATTTAAGAGTGCAATGACTGGAGTGACTTCTGTGGTATAAGATCTTAAATTACTAGTTCTGTAAGTTTAGGTCAGTATAAGAACTATAATCATAAAAGGAAATCCGGGGGTAAAGTTAAGGGTAGGAATTAATATGATCTTCTATTTTCATAACCTCAATTTGCCAAAAACTACCATGGTTAGATTGTGTAAGGGATTTTATGATGTAATTCATTGCTAAGGCTTAGATATGTTTTCTATCTTTGTCTAGCAATACATATTGATCTATACAATATGTTTGCATAAGCATAACCTCTGTTGCTAACACAACTTCTTGTTCATATTCATTGCCACTGCAATCTTCTTTAAAGCAAAGCAACCAGATTTTCAGATGTTCAGTTCTTGAGATATATCTATGTGCTTGTTGATTAGATGTGAAATTTGTAGATCTCATGTGTTGGAGGTTTTGGCTCAAACCCGCATATGTACAGAATTAATGGGACTGCAAACATAAATGCTGTAATAGCTGCAGCAGAGCAAGGTATGCCATAATTCCTTGTGCAATATTTACACAACTGTCTTACTATCATTAATAGGTATGTGTTTTCCTTTCTAAGAGTTCCCTTTTGTTGTTGTTCTGAATATATATATTTTCCATTTAAGGTGTGTTTTAGAGCAATGGGAAAGTCAATGTTCATATTTTTCATTCATTTTAGACGACATAGAAGATAGCTTGTGTCTTACTTTTTAAATGAAGTTGTCTCCTCCTCCCTTTGCTCCTTTCTGTTTTATTTTCTTTGTTAAACTTGAAAAGAGATAGACACCTGTCAAGATGTAAAAATAAGACATCACCATTTCCTGTCACACATGTTGGCAATTTTGTTCATCTAATTCTTTTGATTGATAATTTTTCATGCTGATTATGATTAGGTGCCTACTAATAACTTTATGGAAAATAATACAGCCACCGACGGTAGTGCACCGAATTTATGCACCGAATGACGTGATAAAATCTTGATCGTTGATTAATTTTAACTTAATATTAATCAACGGTCAGGATTTTGTCACGTCATTCGGTGCATAAATTCGGTGCATTACCGTCGGTGACTGTAGCATTACTCTAACTTTATTGACTTGGTCTGCCTCTTTGATGCCTGCTTCATTTGTCAAGTGATTCTTATTTTTTTCACTGTAGTTGGTTATCCGTGGTGCAAGATGTCCAATATATATCTGTACTCCACGTTAAGATGTAGCAATAAACGCGAATTGTAGTTGATTACAAAGAATTCTCTTTTAACTATATTCTAGAAGAATGTGTTAAATTCTTTATGCTGTTGTTTCTCCGTATTTTATATCGATGTTTGATTTAGTTATTTGGCTTCTTCATCCACATTGTTTTCTTCAGGTGTAAAAAGGTTTGTGTATATCTCTGCTGCTGACTTCGGTATATTGTATTATTTACTGCGAGGATATTTTGAGGGCAAGGTACTATTTTTCTCACTAGTTATCATTTACAATAAACAAAGTAACTATGTGTATATGTGGAGTCAAATAATATGAAAAGTTGAATGAAAATATATGAACAATCTCATGCGAGGGAGACAGGGTCTATTTACAGGAATTTTAACTATCAAGGGGACGTGATAGAAGGTATAAAGTTGGACTGAACATACATAGATACACCAATATATTGTGCATTCATAATCATGTAATTTTCATCTTTTCTCGTTACCTTATTGACCAATCATGATAGCAGTACTTTTTGCTTTATCAAAGTCAGGTTTAACTTAATGAATCAGTTACATGGTACACTTGGAGATTTGGAGATTCCTTTTTCCTCTCTGGTCCCTTGTTGATAATATTTCTTTACTCTGATGCAGAGAGCCACTGAGACGGAGTTAACGAAGAAACTGCCACATGGAGGTCTTGTCTCATTTTCTCTTGCTTTGATTCTAGACTTCTGTCTTTATTGTCTTCAGCTAGGTGGTGGGAGTTTTACTCAGTTAATTAAAAACATTTGCTGTCCAGAAATGTCAATTAAGAGATAACTGGTCATGCAAAGATAGATGTATCCATTATTTGAAAAATATAAAAAGATGAGTCACCTAAGCTGAAAGCTTCTTGATTTCTTTTTTATTTGAAATCCTGTTTCTTTGCTCATTTGCATGGCGTCCCTTCAACTGCCGGAATTAGATATGACGTAATAAAAAACATAAGTTTAATTTTTGGAAATGTTTCTGAGGAAACTAATATAATTATAAAAAAAATTAACTCGTGTAAAAATATATCCATTCTCTTCTGGTTGAGAAATTCCCAAAGTTCACAAAGGTGGCTATGTATCAGTGTAATCCACCCTCTCTTATCACACAATGATTTTGATAATTAGTTTCTGGAGCAGAGTAATGGTAACTGGGAATGCTTTTGTCCAATTGTAACAGGTGTAATTCTGAGGGCTGGCTTTATTCATGGGACTCGTCGGGTGGGGCACATGAAGTTGCCTCTAAGTGTCATTGGGGCTCCTTTGGAGATGGTAAATTATGGCTGTTTATTTGAAGCTTTCATTATAGAATTATTATCTGTATTTAATGTGTTCCTATGTTTATCTGTACATTCAATTCTAGATACTATATGGCAAATTTGTTTAGCTGATGAAGTTGTCTCTCAGTTTAGAGGCTCCATTGGACTTGTTGCTTGTGATTGTTTACAGATTTTTCTTGCCATGAATGAATATTCTTCTAAGATGTGTACCTGTCTTCTGTTTATGAACAATTTGTTGTTGTTTCAATTCATTCTATGGTTAATGCAGATTCTGAAGCGTGCAAAACTGCTGTCCAAAATTCCGCTAATTGGTCCACTGTTTATACCTCCAGTCCATGTAACTTCTGTGGCAAAGGTAGCTGTAACTGCTGCAATAGATCCAACGTTCCCTCCTGGCATCATCGACGTATATGGTATACTACAACATGGCCACCAAAAATCAGCTTAGACTTGTTAGGAGATCTCTTCTCTGTATTTTTTTATTATTATTGTTCTGATTATGCATATCAATAACCAGCTATTGAATAGTGAGAAAAATAATATTTCTCTGACGTTGTACTGTTGCCAATATTAGATAGTGTCTCTTGTGGATTGAATATTGATTTTTTGTATATTTACATTTATCAAGTCAATAAAAATGTGTGGGTTTAACAAATTGGTGTTCTCTTTGGTATTTCTTCCTGATATCTAGTTGAAAGATAACCAGTCACTCTTTGGAAAATATTTAAGGAACTCTAGAGAAAAATGGTTAAACTGAACTTGGTGGTTTTTTCGCTTTCATATTTTATAACTAGTTTGCATTGTACTATCTCTGAAGTAAGAGTGCTCAAGAGAAACTCAACATAAAGTCTTTAAAATCTTTGAATAATTGATTTGATCTCAGACTGCATATTACTCTTAGTTTTGATCTACCTAATGGCAAAAAACATTTGGTAATTCTATGGTATGATGTCATTCATTTAATCGCTCAATAGTCAATAGAACTGTGGCAAGTCTGTTTATTTCTCTTTAATCTATCCCAACTGTTAACACAAATGGTGAGTTATAGTATGAATGTATACATAACATGCTTTTATTTGATTTTGAAAGTTGATGTGGTGGAACGAATGTTACCCAAGACTCTCCCATTTAGGGAAAGAGAGTAAAATGAGAGTGGTAAGGCAAGTCTCCTTTTACGGTGTAATGTCTTACATAGATGTGTGGTCAATTGCCACAATCCTATGAAAGTTAATGAACAAAGAGGAAGATTTGTAATGCTTGTTGAAGCTGCAGGTTAGGAATCAGTAAACGTGTGCTTTTAAGATAACCTAGAAAAGAAGACCTTTGGTAGTTCTTATGAAGATGAATGTCCTTAGTTGGAAGGATTGGAATGGTGAATCGAAGGTCAGTTTTTTCTGGAGATTGTGCTACAGTGATTTACAGATAAATGTTGTTTTTTACTTTATAACAGGAGATAATTACAGTTGTTTGAGCATGATTTTTTACTTTACATCTTGCTTTTCAAATCTGAAACATTCCTGGCAAGGAGTAGATAGTATTTTTCCTTTTTTGGTCTCTAGTATCCATTATTTTCTTGTTTGAATTGTAGGCTTTTTCATGCAGGATCGTTTGCAACCTGTTGAGTTATGATCGTTTGCTTGCAATCTGATATATATCAATGGTATTCTGCACCACAATCTTATGACTCCAGACTCTGAGCCGATTTCATAAATTTTTGAATAAAAATTGCGTGATATATGGCTACTAGGTCAATTGAATTAATGGAATGTGTTGTCCGAGACTCTTTTATCAGTGACCTGTTAAAAGAATCAGACTAGGGGTATCGTATTATTTGAATGCATCTCAAAGATAAGGAAAAGTGATTGAAGAGTCAAGACTAGAAACAATTCATTAAAGCTCTCTCTTTATGTTCGAAGTACACACCGGTGACAAGAAACAAAGAAAAGAACAGGACACAAAAAAACAGCCAGCTCTTGATGAGCTAAACAATGGCAAAAACAAATAAACTGATTAAATGTGTACTATTCGAAGAGGAGCAGGTGGGTGTTACTCATCCTTTGGTTTCATTTGTTGATTCCTGCAGCATTCTTGGCAGCATCAGCAGCACCCTGAGCTTTATCCTGCATTTGCTGGCCAGCCTGTATACATGTGTTTATCATTAGTCATGAACTTCAACAACAATTAAGCCTGGTTAGTTGAATGAACTTCAACCTCTTCTAGTCTTTATTCATCTCTAGATGCAAGTTTTTCGCTTTGTATATATACCTGTTGGCACGACTCCTTGGCAGATTGGGCAGCGTTATTAGCCTTATCCATCATCTGGCTGCTCTTTTCCTGGAAGAAAATGTAAATATTTACATCATTAAAGATTATGCAACATGTATCATGGATGTTGAATTGGAATTAAGGAATGTTAATGTTCATTTATGTAAGAGGTCACCTGAGCTTGGCCTGTGGCCTGGCCGGCTTGGAAACCGGTGTTCTGGGATTGGTCCATTTTCAGTTTTCTCTGGAATTAACGCAGAAGACAGTAGGAACTAAAACTCAATTGCTTTTATGAGGTAGAACTCATAACCTGTTCCGCTTTATAGTGTATAGATACCAGGCCATTTTTTGACATCTGTGATGCCATGTGACATGTGTTTCAATATGGTTTAAGTTGGAGCAAATTTGGGCCTTTGGACCAGGGATGCTGTTGACAATATTTTGTTATTTTCTGTATTTCTGATGTAGAGATGACTAATGCAGCGTTAGTGAAGAAACTGCCCCATGGAGATCATGTCTCCTATTCTCTTGCTTTGGCTCTAGACTTCTGACTTTATCATCTTCAGCTAGGTGTAGGATTTTCACTCAATGAATTGATAACATCTTCCCCTCCAGAAAGAACAATTAATAGGTTTTGGATATTTTTGAAGGTCTTAGCTTTTTGCCATCAGAGATCAGGCTTGAAGCCTCATTGGACAATATTGATTGATTAAAATGATGGGAAGAGTTATTCTTTTTAGATAACATTGTTAGTAAAAAGTTCATGTTGAATAGGCCATTATATCTTTGCTAAGATTTTAATTGAACCCAGACTCTATGAGACATTTTTCCTGATTGGACATATCCGTTATGACAGGTTTCTCCTTGGAAGGTCATGTCTCTTCTAAAAGTCATATATCCTCAAAGGTTTTCCTTTGGAAGGTCACGTCTCTTTTAAAGGTCATGTCTCTTCAAAAGGTTGTATTTATATATCAAAATGGTTTCATAAAAGGTACCTTCTCATTTAAAAGGTACTAACAATCCTATATAAGGAATTTGATTTTTTGGAGAAGTACAATGGAAAAGAAAAACCACTACAATTCTATTAAAACTAAAACTCTCTTTAGTCTGCTTTTGTTTTGTGCATAACATAGGTGAATTCTTTACTGTATCCTAAAGAAATTTGTTGATCTTATTTGCATTAATAGACATTTGAAAGATTAAAAGACAAAGTGTCTATGAAAGAGAATGGGAGACATTTGAAAGACTATAAATAATCTTTAGATATACAATCACACATAAAATCCAAAAGTTCATAATGCAGAATAATGTGAGAAGTGATATAATTACGGAGCAATACTACTCATCCAAAATATTTATCCCCAATTTCAATTTTAAATCATGTGTCACATTATTCAAAGCATTATCACTTTATATAAATGTTATTATTACATATGATAATACATCATATTTCAAATATAAAATTCTGGATAAATTTTGGGAAAAGTAGTATTATTGATTATTGAGATACATCAACAATCATGTTAATTTTTGTATAAAGTATAGATAGATTTTATAAATATAATATTATAAAAAAGAAAGATAATATTATGATTATTACATCAAAATGGAAAAAAAAAAAAAAGTAGAAATGGATTTGGATTCCCACGCGGCAAGGAATCTTTTGGAAAGTGACAATATCAAAAACTAATTCCTAAACTAGAAATTTGCCCAAAACTTAAATTCATTTTCTTCTTGTTTGCCTTTCCTTCTTGATTGCCTTTTCTTCATCAATTACCAAAAAGTGTTCATATTCCAACAGTTTGACTAGGATGGATATGTATCAGTACAATCGTCTCTCCCATATTCACCCAATGCTTTTGATAATTTTGAGGCCTGGCTTTATACATGAGATAATTTTGAGGCCTGGCTTTATACATGAGACTCGTCGGGAGAGGCATATGTAGTTGCCTCTGAAGTGTCATTGAGGTTCCATTAGAGATGATAACTTGACTGTTTACAAAGTTTTTCAAGCTTCCATAGTTCTTATCTGTATCCAATGTGTTTCAACTTCATCTAGTAGGTATTTGGAGAATTACAATCATCGTATATTTCCTTACCCACCTTATTTGGTAAGATTTGGATTTATCTCTTACTCACTTCAATTAGTTGGGCTCAAAGCGTGTTCGAACTCAGGATTTCATCCATAGAAATGAGTCAAAGAGTATGAATTGAGTTATTCGTGGATGGTATCTTGAGAAATATATCCATTCTCTTCTGGTTGAGAAATTCCGAAAGTTCACAAAGGTGGCTATGTATCAGTGTAATCCACCCTCTCTTATCACACAATGATTTTGATAATTAGTTTCTGGAGCAGAGTAATGGTAATAGGGAATGCTTTTGTCCAATTGTAACAGGTGTAATTCTGAGGCCTGGCTTTTGTTTAAAGTGATGATATTTTGCTTGAAGCAAAATTTTTTTTTATTGTTAAACTGAAGCTAGAAACTGGCAGCAAAAAGCAGAATTTGAAGTGGTGAAGTTGGCCTGGGAGCAGTTCACCGAAGCTGGTTTTTAGGCATGCTGAAGTGATTGTTTTTGGTGAATTCAGCATACATTAAGCTGCCTACTTTATATCATGTTAATGTGATGTAATTTGAGTTGCTAAAGATGTATGGTTATTGGTTAAGATGTATTTTGGCATTAAAATATGTTTTAATGTTAGGTACAATAGTGGCATTAAGATGTATAAACTTAGTTGATTCTTAATGAATGAATACAAAACAAAAACAAGTCTTCCACTCTCTCATCTCTTCTTTCTTCTTGTTCTCTCCCGTGTACTTAGTTTGTGTTCAAGCTCCAATAACCAACAACTGGGATTAGAGCTCCATTTGATCTCAAGGGGCCTGCAAAGCTTTCATTCGACACTTACTCAGTCAGTCCTCATTACACCAAAAACCAGTCTTCATGGCAGCAAGTTCAACCTCACTCCTACCTCCAACCTTCAATGGGGAACAGTGCCATATGTGGGCTGTTAAGATGAAGACTTATCTAAGAGGTCAGAGTTTATGGCAATACATAGAAGAAGAGAAGCAGCCGCCATAGTTGGGGCCAAATCCAACGTTGAATCAAATAAGAATCCATGAAGAAGAAACTGCAAAACCTCCAAGAGCTCTGTCTCATATACATGCTGCTGTTACGGATCAAGTTTTCACAAGCATAATGGCTTGTGAGACAACAAAGGAAGCTCAAGGAAGAATTTGAAGGAAGTAGCCAAACTAGAAATATGCAAGTCTTGAACTTAAGGAGAGAGTTTGAGACATCAAAGATGCAAGAAGCTGAAGTGGTTACGGAGTATGTTGATAGATTAATGAATGTGGTTAAGAAGATAAGGTTGCTAGGGGAGTAGATAACAGATAAACGAATTGTAGAGAAGGTATTGGTGAGCTTACCCGAGAGGTTTGAGTAAAAAATCTCCTTTTTGGAGGATTCCAAGGACTTGTCTCAGATCACCTTGACTGAGTTTGTTCATGCACTTCAAGCTCAAGAGCAAAGAAGGAAGTTGAGGCAAGAACACAGTGGTGAAGCAGCATTGGTTGTCCTATAAAAGGGCAAGCCAACTTAGGGAGGAAACAAGAAACATGTTGGAGATAAGAGAGGAAAAGAGAAAGCCAGTAGTCAGTGGAATAAACCAAGAGGTTTCAAGGGTTTTCCACCATGTTCTCATTGCAAAAAGAAGAACCATGCAAAGAGTAAATGTTGGTTCAAACCAAATATTCAATGCAGGGCATGTAAACAATTCTGCCACATTGAAAAGGTCTGTAAAAAACAAACCACACCAACCAACACAGCAAGCACAGACTATTGAAGATCTATAGCAAAATTCAGAATCAGAGCAGCTATTTGTAGCCTCCTGCTATGCTGTTCAATTCAATGCTGGAGCTTGGTTGATTGACAGTGGATGTACAAATCATATGACACCTAATCTGGAGAATTTTGTGAGTCTAGACCAATCATACCAGTCAAGAGTAAAGGTTGGAAATGGTGACTATGTGAAGGTTAAAGGTAGAGGAGATGTGGCTGTGTAGACCTTGACAGGTACAAAAATCATTACTAATATTTTGTTTGTTCCTGAAATCAATCAAAACCTTCTTAGTGTAGGACAAATGCTTGAAAGAAACTACACTCTGTATTTTGAAAATCAATCTTGCACAATATTAGATAATGAGGGAAATGTGATGATGTATGTAAAAATGATGGGAAAGAGCTTCCCAGTTAAGCTCAAAAAATCAGAATTTCAAGCCATGTCAGTGAATTCAGATGACACATACCTATGGCATAAAAGGTATGGTCATTATCATTATGCTGGTCTTAGACAAATGAAGCTCAAAAATATGGTTCACACCTTACCCGAAAAAGAAGAGAATAAGAGTTTGTGTAGAGCATGCCAAATAAGGAAGCTTAGCAGACCTGCTTTTCCAACAAACCAGGCCTAGAGAGCTACTGAAAAGCTCTAATTGGTACACACTGATGTGTGTGGACCAATGTAGACCCCATCCCTGAGTGGATCCAAGTATTTTACTTTGTTTATTGATGATTATTCAAGAATGACTTGGGTGTATTTCCTAAAACAAAAAGGTAAAGTTGCTACTGTGTTCAGAAGGTTTAAAACTCAAGTTGAAAATCAAGCTATTGTAAGGATAAATGCTGTGAGATGTAATAATGAGGGTGAATATACCTCATGGGAATTTGAATCAATATGCAGGGATGCTAGAATATGGCTCTAGTATAGCTGTCCTTACACTCCTCAACAAAATGAAGTGAGTGAAAGGAAAAATAGGATAGTGATGGAGATGTCAAAATGCATGCTGACTAAAAAAAGTTTGCCAAAGGAGTTGTGGGCAGAATCTGTGAACACTAGTGTGTACTTGTTGAATAGGCTTCCAACCAAGGCTTTAAAATATCAAACTCCATTTGAAGCATGGTATAGAGTCAAGCCTCAAGTCAACCATCTTAGAATCTTTGGTAGTGTATATTATGTCCTCATACCAGCCATCAAAAAATCCAAACTTGATGACCAAGTAAAAGCTGGAATCCTAGATGGTTACAACCACCAATCCAAGGCATACATAATTTATATTCCGGAGTCTAAAAAGGTGGTGATTTCAAGAGATGTGAGGGTTGATGAGAGGTCAGTTTGGAACTGGGAGGAGAAGAAAATTCAAGATGATACAAGGCCACTGCAAAGGGAACAAG